TATGATCAATCCCTGGTTTCTCATATCATAAAATTTGTTTTAACTGTACTGATTACGCTTCAGGCAAGATGAGGAATCATTGCATTGACCTAAAATATCCGAAAGAACAGAGATAGTCGCCTGCGCTAAACTACACGTCGTAAATACTGGAAAAGTGATAGATGATTCCCTCTGTCTTCCTTTTCTAAGAGATTCAAAGATGTGTTATTAAAATTATTAGCTCTCCAAACGTTGAAGCATAATTTGAAACAATTTAAAATAAATAAATGATTTTTTAACACGCTTGCACGCGTTTGGCCTCGCTCTGGAGGCGTGAGTCTTACGAGCATGCGTGCCTCGTTTTCACGTTGAATTTTGAATCGCGCGCCCTTTTGAACATTCTTCGCGGTCGGTTCGCCTTCCATTTTGGTGGTTTGTACATGCAGGGCCTTTTTTTTGTGAAGTTGAGCGAAGAGAGTGTGATAGATTGCGGAGATAGACTGCAGGGCGGAATAATAGTTTATTTAAATGAAACGCCAAATCCCATGGAAGCGGTGATGAAGGAGTTCAGTGTTCACTCTTCTACTCTTGGCGACTCGAATGTACACTGAGTGTTTCAACAACCATTGAGAAGAAAGAACGCCTATTTTAAACTGTGGATCCTTGTTGTTTCGTAAGTACATTCTGAATCTTTTTTTAAATATATAGAAGCATATTTAAGTTTATGTAATAGCTTTGGGAGCATTTCATCGATATCGATCATAAAAATCGTTTTACATGTGAGCTTACATAAGCTTACATGTTTCACGCGACAGCGGGTTGCTTCGTACAGATCTGACCTTTGTACGTTGCCTGTAGTTTCTTTGATAACATATACCTGTAAAGCACGTGTTTGTCTGATTTCTTTGGCAATAAAGACATAGTTGCTGCTTCACCGAAAAAGAACATTTTAATGGCGAAGATGGCAGCCGTAAAACAATGAATCTCGAATGAGGAAACGGAATCACGGAACGGAGTACGGAATCAAATGTCAATGACAGAAAAATATTATATAAAAATTCCTTGACACTGAAATGTACAAAACATTTCCACTCCAATTTCTGAGACTGTGGATATTTATCACAAAGATAAACCTGTACGAAAATAATATTTAATGTTCATATTAATTTTTTGCATACAATGTCCATTTCCTTACTAGATTCAAAACGACATATGCAATTTGCAGGGACCAGTGGGAATTGTTCAAAATTGAAATAAATGTAGTGCTTGTTACGATACTTGTAGGGTTAAAAGGAACCTTTTCTCTTTGTGTACGTGCACAATAAAAAGTTTTATATGATGGTGCAGAAAGGTTCTAAAAGTCTAAAATATAATTTCCTTACACTTCAATTTGTCGTTAAGCTTCGAACACAAGGATATATGTAACAGCTTTATTCGATGACAAAGCAACCTTCATTGACTCAAGTAAGACGCCCATCTTTGAGTGGGAAGTCGCAATTCTATTTATCCATCTTTGAGTGGACAAAGTAGTGCTTGTGTCAATGATATTTCAAATGTTGCAAAAGTCACCAGGAGATAAACAAGAAGATTTTTCAGAAATATAATTTCCTTACACTTCAATTTGTCGTTAAGCTTCGAACACAAGGATATATGTAACAGCTTTATTCGATGACAAAGCAACCTTCATTGACTCAAGTAAGACGCCCATCTTTGAGTGGGAAGTCGCAATTCTATTTATCCATCTTTGAGTGGACAAAGTAGTGCTTGTGTCAATGATATTTCAAATGTTGCAACAGTCACCAGGAGATAAACAAGAATATTATTTTCAGAAATATTATTTCCTTACACTTCAATTTGTCGTTAAGCTTCAAACACAAGGATATATGTAACAGCTTTATTCGATGACAAAGCAACCTTCATTGACTCAAGTAAGACGCCCATCTTTGAGTGGGAAGTCGCAATTCTATTTATCCATCTTTGAGTGGACAAAGTAGTGCTTGTGTCAATGATATTTCAAATGTTGCAACAGTCACCAGGAGATAAACAAGAATATTATTTTCAGAAATATAATTTCCTTACACTTCAATTTGTCGTTAAGCTTCGAACACAAGGATATATGTAACAGCTTTATTCGATGACAAAGCAACCTTCATTGACTCAAGTAAGACGCCCATCTTTGAGTGGGAAGTCGCAATTCTATTTATCCATCTTTGAGTGGACAAAGTAGTGCTTGTGTCAATGATATTTCAAATGTTGCAACAGTCACCAGGAGATAAACAAGAATATTATTTTCAGAAATATAATTTCCTTACACTTCAATTTGTCGTTAAGCTTCGAACACAAGGATATATGTAACAGCTTTATTCGATGACAAAGCAACCTTCATTGACTCAAGTAAGACGCCCATCTTTGAGTGGGAAGTCGCAATTCTATTTATCCATCTTTGAGTGGACAAAGTAGTGCTTGTGTCAATGATATTTCAAATGTTGCAACAGTCACCAGGAGATAAACAAGAATATTATTTTCAGAAATATAATTTCCTTACACTTCAATTTGTCGTTAAGCTTCGAACACAAGGATATATGTAACAGCTTTATTCGATGACAAAGCAACCTTCATTGACTCAAGTAAGACGCCCATCTTTGAGTGGGAAGTCGCAATTCTATTTATCCATCTTTGAGTGGACAAAGTAGTGCTTGTGTCAATGATATTTCAAATGTTGCAACAGTCACCAGGAGATAAACAAGAATATTATTTTCAGAAATATAATTTCCTTACACTTCAATTTGTCGTTAAGCTTCGAACACAAGGATGTATGTAAAAGCTTTATTCGATGACAAAGCAACCTTCATTGACTCAAGTAAGACGCCCATCTTTGAGTGGGAAGTCGCAATTCTATTTATCCATCTTTGAGTGGACAAAGTAGTGCTTGTGTCAATGATATTTCAAATGTTGCGACAGTCACCAGGAGATAAACAAGAATATTATTTTCAGAAATATAATTTCCTTACACTTCAATTTGTCGTTAAGCTTCGAACACAAGGATGTATGTAAAAGCTTTATTCGATGACAAAGCAACCTTCATTGACTCAAGTAAGACGCCCATCTTTGAGTGGGAAGTCGCAATTCTATTTATCCATCTTTGAGTGGACAAAGTAGTGCTTCACTATTGGATGAAAACCTGTGAAAATGCAGTGAAAAATATGTGAAATACCCTGTGACAAGAAAACACCCTGTGAAAAACCCTGTGAATTTTGCACAGCCTAAAATTTGAGAAAATTTCAAAATTTAGGACCCTGTGAAAAAACCTGTGACTAAAATAAGCCTGTGAAAAACCCTGTGAAAAAACCTGAGATCAAAGTTTAAGAAAATTGCCTACCAAACACCTCTGAAAAATCCTGTGAAAAAACCTATGAGAAAATTTTGAGAAAATTGCCTAAGAAACAGCTCTGAAAAACCATATGAAAATACCTGTGAACAAAAAACGGTTGAAATCGATAACAGCAATTTGCAAAGATGCACTGAGAAAACCTGTGAATAATGAAGGAATGAACCATATGTCTAAATGTTTATCTATATTGTTATAATAAATAAAGTTAGAGGAAATTAGGATGCTACAGTGCACTTATATGACGGCAGGTGTACGGTTGAAAGTGTAGATTATTCCGGGGTTATTTACGAAAAAAGAAGACCCGATATTTTCAAAGAGAAACTAAATTGGTCAAGCAAACAAATCTTCCGAGACTTGTTTTGCTTCTCTTGACAAGAAAAACAATCCCTTGCCATTTCTTGCTTAAACAGTTTTAAGATATGATGCGAGCTGTCAACTGAGTTGACAGATATTCGTGAAAACTGGTCTCGTTTAATAGCAGCTGAAACCCGTAAGGCACGTAAAATGCCGCCTCGTTAGCAACATTTTGCAAATTGGAATGAAAGGAAAAGACAGATCAATTTCGATTCAATTGTAGTATTTGTAATTATTTTTGCTAGAGGGAATGGTTTTTTTAGTATTATATGTCTTCCACTAAAAGAGGATTCGAACATTTACATGAAATTTTTAAGTAGAGAAGTGTGATAGGTATGGAAAACAATCATGGTATTAATAAGCACGAAGAAAATAGGAATCAAATTTGACCGCTTTGTAGCCTAAAACAAAACAGGTTTGAGTGTTGAAAAAATAAGTATATCATGGATTTACAGACTGCCGACTCCTTTTTTCCTGTCTTGCATTCAATACTAATCAAATACATCTTCCTAACGTAAGCAACAGGAGGGCATTTTGCATGCGCATGCGTGAATCCGCTGAACGACAATAACGCTGGCGCATCAAATCTGATGGCGGGAAATCGAAAACTCGTTCGTAAAGTAACAGTCCTTTTAAAAGCCATTTCGTTGGTGCTTTGAATACCGTACTTTCCTACAAAAAGTATTCGCCATGACAAAAATCGGACGTTTTCTACGCGGGTTTTCACTTGTAGATTTCTCAGCAGTCGGTTTTCTTGGCCTTTTAAAGACTTTCAAGACTCAACGCCAAAAAGTCATGTTCCTGTATAAGTCAGTTTTTTACTGGCAAAGCAATGCATTTCTATGGTTTGATTTCCAAACTCGTGGTTTTACTTATCACGCCTTGCGTAAAAAAATTTTCACAGCTGCGCCTGTTCCTTTGCGTAAATCCGGCCAAACCTTCAATGTTTGCGACCATCATTATTTTTAGTCATATTATGGCTTAAATACAGGCGTTTAGTATTTGATTGTAAAACTCCCTGAAGAAGTCTACGTTAGTTAGACGAAACGCGTAGGAGAATAAACAAGTTTTACAGCAACAGTTCGCAGAGTGCTGCTCACTAGTTTAGTTTTAAAAATTGTCAAGTCAATACTAGTAGAAGCCACATGGCGAACGCAACTGGAAATATTTGCTCTGGACCAAAACGCCCTCGACCTTCAGATTCGTCGGATCCAGAGCCAAATCCAGTGTATAGCTCTCCCAGCAGCCTAGACTCCACTATCGAAACTGTCCTTAGAAAGGCAGTTCGCATGCGAGTTGATGCCGATAAAGCCCACTCCAGTCTCATTGGCAGGATTAAACTACTGGAGGAACACGCAGCTCAAGGCACTTCTCCATCTGGCCTCAGGATAAAAAAAGTCCAAGCAAAAGGTCAAAACGTGGAAGCACTTCAAGCCAAATTTGACGGCATTATCCGCGAGGCAGAAGTACAATTGCTGGAGGCTACAATTGATCATCTCCGCTCCGAGGTTAAGGATCATCAGGAGGCAATCCGTGCTACTACTGCCAATATAGATGGCACTATTGCGCGCTGGAAGGAACAGCTTCTGAAGAACGATATCTCGAACGCAAAAGCGACCAGTCTCGTAGAGGCCGCCGTAGCATTTGTGGAGAAGTTATCCAAAGATACCGCGGTCTCGCAGGCTTCCAAAGCCCTCCAAGCGGAGATAACCCGAACGGCAAAAAACAGAAGTCAGGCAATGATGGACGATAGCGAGGTTTTCGTTGCCTCGGAAGAGTCTATTAGAGATATTATTCGAAACGAGCTCCGCGGTCTTACTTCAGGCACTACAAGCCCTAACGAGGAAAACCGGCAGCGGAAAGTTTCCATATCCGAAAGAAGGAATAATGGCAAGTCGAAAGGCAAGTCACGTCGAAGTAGATCCACAAGTCGCGGTCAAGCCCAGCAACGCCAAAGGTCAACCTCTGCCAAACGGTCTAACCGACCTCAAAAGTGGTCAAAAAACTCCCGAGGAAAAGGTTCAGGCCACGTAAAATAGACAGGCGCTCGGCGCACGAAAAATGGTTATTCAAGATGGCTAAACGACCCCTATACGACTTGCTTCCACGGAATTCGGAAATTCATAATTTTACCTCTCTCAAGCTTACTGAGCGGCAAGCTAGAGTTCTGGGCATGGGTCTAAAGTTTAGACCCTCGCTTCTACCCCCTAGCGAAGCTCAGTTTGACTTACAAATCCAAGACTTCTGTCGAAGAGTTCGCCTTCAGGATAAATTCGCCAACTGCCCGCCAGACAAGGACTTCAATCCCAGATTGTACGTTCCAACAGGCTGGAATCCGCCTCGGGAAAATCCCGATCTTGAAGACAAACTCTTCGCGTTACGCAAAGAGCTGCTTAAAAACATTGTGGCTGGCAAACCGCATTGGAAGAACAACCTCACAAAGCACGAGCGAGAGGAACTTAGCGAGCTGAAATCCAACCCTAATATTAAAATTTTGCCTACCGACAAAAATCTCGGGCCGGCTCTTGTTTCCACGGATTGGGTTCAAGCTGAGACACTAAGACATTTGCATGACGAGTTGTCATATCATAAAGTCACGCAACAGGACTGGTATGCTAATCGTCTTAATGTAATTAATTCTCGCGAAAAGCTTATGACAATTTACAGTAGATTTATTTCCTCTAGCGTAGCTCGATTTTTGCGTAGCTTTGATCATTTTGTTAGTCCGGCTAAGTTTTATGTTATCCCTAAGATACACAAAAACCCTATGGTGGGGAGACCTATTGCCGCTTCCCATTCGTTTATTACTAGGCCTATTAGTACTTTTGTTGATGAGCTTATTAAGCCTAAAGTACACATGCCTACGGTACTTAGGGACTCAGGTGAGCTGATTCAACTGCTGGAAAATACGGTCTTGCCCGATGGAGATTGTTTCCTTGTCACTGCGGATGTCGTATCGCTTTATCCGAACGTTGACACTAAGAAGGCGCTTATAGCCCTTGACCTGCTCCTTCGTGAAGCAGGGGCTCCGGAGACCCCACTTTTGATTCAGCTCGCCCGGCTTGTTTTTGAAAACAATTATTTATCTTCGGAATTTTGTCCGGATATTTTTCATCAAAAGTTTGGGATTGCTATGGGCACTCCTTTTTCTGTCACAGTGGCAAACGCGTTTATGTATCATCACGAAAAGGATATTGTAGATCATTATTCCCAATATCTTATCCTATACAAGCGTTTCATTGATGACATTTTTGCTATTTGGTGCGGGCCTAAGGACACCCTGCTAGAATTTTTGGGCGCTCTCAACAGCAAAGATCAACGTATTCAGCTTACTCATTGTATTAGCGAGCTTAGCATTTCTTTTCTTGATCTATTTCTCTATAGAGATGGGTCTTCAAGCGTGCTGCAGTTTTCCACTTTTCAGAAGCCCCTTAACAAATACCTATATATACCCTTCGAGTCGTTTCATCCTTCTAGCAATAAGAAAGCCTTTATTAAAGGGGAATTAATGAGGTATGCTAGAAACAGTTCTTCCTTTAAATCTTTTTCGGAGACTAGGGATAGATTCTGGAAGCGGCTACGGTTGAGAGGGTATCCATTTGCATTTTTGCTACCACTATTTCGCGAAATACGATACAGCGACAGAAAGAAGTGGCTTTTGCAGGAAGCTAAGAATAGGTCTCAGCGGGCTACTGTATTCAAGACTGCTTTTAATTGCAGTCACGCACGTATTAGGAATGTAATCAACAGGATTATGCCAGAAATAGACTGTACCGTATGTTACAAAGCTACTGTAACATTAGCTAATCTTTGTAAGTAAGTTTTTTGGGGCCACGGTTTTAGCTAAAACCGTGGCCCCAAAGTGTTCTTACGCCTTGCGTATAAAAAATTTCACAGCTGCGCCTGTTCCTTTTCGTAAATCCGGCCAAACCTTCAATGTTTGCGACCATCATTATTTTTAGTCATATTATGGCTTAAATACAGGCGTTTAGTATTTGATTGTAAAACTCCCTGAAGAAGTCTACGTTAGTTAGACGAAACGCGTAGGAGAATAAACAAGTTTTACAGCAACAGTTCGCAGAGTGCTGCTCACTAGTTTAGTTTTAAAAAAAGTCTCTTTTTTATTGTGAAAATATTTAATATACATATGTACATATTATATGAAAATGGAGAGAGAATTATTTTAATAAAATCTTTAATCCCAAAAATGCACCTAAATATGACTCTGCTTGATTTGTGTGTATCAGCGTAAATGGGTCATTGTGGATGCATGAAACGGTCCAGGGTTGTCTCACAAACGTCCACTTTTTTATATACCGGATAGAATGAACATAGGATTCGAAACTGGATGGTTAAGTAAAGTTAACACATTTAGGAAATCTAGTGAATAATCCACCGAAAGTGGAATCTAAGTGAACATGAAGGCTGCAGAAAGTAAACCGATCAAACTGAGTTTCCGCATTCATTCTTCCGGGAACTTAACGGATAATTGAGTATCCTCTGAATTTACGAGCTGCGGAAACATGACGGCAGTTAGCGTTTCCGCAAGAGTAAACCTGACGGAAACGCGAGTATAAGGGATGCGTTTAAGCGTCTCCGCAGAAACTGAAACATGACGGATACACGTGTTTCGCGCAACGTTTAGTTACAATTCCGTCTGCGGATATTCAGGTTTCCGTGAGGTAACCGTTACAAAAACGGAAACGGAAACACCTTTTCTAAACCTGTGATTATATAAAAAGCTGGGAAAATGTTCTGAATCGTTTTATGGAGCGCTGGTTTAACCCATAAACGACTATTAATTAATTGCTATTGTTAATTCCACCGGCGCGTTTTTAGGAAGTTTTCATTTCAAAAAACGGTAGTTTCATGATCATTTAAGCAGTTAACTGAAGGTGCAAATGAGCTTTCGAAAATTTTCTTATTTTTAATCTATAACAAGCTTCAGGGGCACCCAACGTCAATTTTCGGAAAATGTCTGTTCGGAAGACGATTTGAGATCTAGAATTTTCGGAACATTTGTTATTAAATTTCTTGCTTGCCTGCCTCTCCTAGGATTTTCGAACCTCTGAAAAATGGTAAAATTGCCCATTTTTAACGGATTTTTACCCTAAAAAGGTCACCTAGAATTTTCGGAAGCTTTTTTTCTGGCTGAAATTCTCGAAAAGGTAAGTTTTGATCCCTACAATTTTCGGATCACTAGACTTTCAGCTAGCCTGAAATCCAAACAGATGAAAAATTTTTAGGGGATAAAAATATGTCTATATCTACCGATTAAATACTAAAATACGTTTAACAATGCTATGTTTAAGTAGTTTGGAACTATATTCTCGTTGGGTGCCCCTGAAGCTTTGCCGGTAAACCATAGTTTTGCCCAAAGTGAAAAATTAAATTCGCCGACAACCCTACGCAGAAGTGATGCGTGAAATAAATTGGATACTGTAGTCTCACGATTGCGTTTTCAACTAATGTTATGAATGAACATAGACAAAACAATAGTCAGAGAAATTATTTATCGAAACATTTTATTCGAAAACCCATAATTTTATCCTCAAAAGCAATTCGGGTAACGCTAACTGGGTCGTGGATCCTTTCACGCAATGAAAAGCGGCCGAAGACATCAAATGTCAACGCCAAAATCCGTCTCAAATCGTATAAAACATCTATGACACAACTATATACACTTACATTTCCATTTAAAAAGGGAATTTCCTTGACCATTAATGTGCAAATTGTACCTTAAGATCTTTAAAAACGTTGCCGCTTTGGCTTCTTTTCAGAACAGGACAAGCGTTCCACGGTGAACCAACCAGTTTGAAGTCCTTGAGGGCGAATCGTTCAGCTAAAAGCTTCTTTTCTTCTTTTTCCACTAAAAGAAAACTTATCGATGATTCTTTTGAACTCTCCGGTTCCCATCTGTGTCTTAAAACAGAGCATTTAGCCTTGCATTGAGAGGCGACACAACAAAATCACCGCACTATCCATTTTCTTTTCCTGGCAAACAAGAACTACAGTATGTGGTCCTTGGTCCGCGAAAGTCCCCGATGCCCTTAGTCCGCGTCTTTTCCGAAAATGATAAGATATTTCGTCAAGAAAAAAAATACGTTGAATAATGAAAGATATCGTGATTTACTGATTAGCATTCTTTCATATGACGAAGTTTCAGCCTTCTTGCTGCAGATGAAGACGCGAAATTAAAGTTTGTTGACAGGTAGGTTAATTTGTCTTTCTTGAAGTTTGGATTTTTGCGGCACCGTAAATTACGTGGTCATGTTTACCTAGCCTGCGAATAACTAAAACGCAACGGGAAGACTTGCCTTTTTGCAGAACAGGTTTTCAGATCAACTTATTTCCGCTGTTGGAAGCATATTGCTGTAGACGCTGAATTGTTTGTTTTAGCGACTCTTGAAAAATATCACCAAATTTCGCTTAGCGGTCCTTGGTCCGCGTCCTATGACCTTGGTTGAATAAAACTTTCCAAAGTAAAAAGCGACGCCCTCGAAGAATGTTTTGAAAGTCGTCCCTATACATGTCTACAAGTTCTCTTTTTTAATACCTCAAGTACAGACCTCAAGTACAGACAGAGTTTTAGGTAATTATTTTCGACCGCGCTAAAAACCGCTCGTCGACGCTCGTGTGGGAGACTCGAGGAGACTGTTGTCAGAAGTCTTTGAAAGAAAAGCAGATTACTTTATGCTCACAACATCTTCCGAAAAAAACTTTAACTTAATTGCATCATTCGCGGACCAAGGACCATCGAAAACGGTCGCTTTTTTGCGAATTCCAAGCAAAATATTTATGTCTGGAACTTGAAACTTCAGGATTATCGACAGAAACATAAAAGCTATCTTTAGGGAGTATTTCAGCTCGTTACATGAAGATTCGGGTAAGATATTCAAGTTAAATAATGACTTTTACACGCGGACCAAGGACCACATGCTGTACCATCTGATAAATTAACGATCTTTGCCCTGTCCCGTAAGAAGCACCCGTAGCAAGTTTGTTTTGGTATTCCAACAGCTTTTAAATACAGAGCTTTCTCAAGTTGACGACGCTCTTCTAAATACATAAACAGGGATTTTTGAAATTTTTCCTTTGCTACGCTTGAGCCGCGTTCGCATGCAAGAATTTGGTGGGAAGGGATGCATGAAGGCGTAATAATGGTCAGCGTACATTCGCTGACGGAAGACTCGCGCAATGCTCTAGACCGGTCAAGAACAGGTAAAAACCCGATTTTTTAATTTATTCGTCCAGATTTCTGGAAGGATTTGAACGGTTGCCGGCAGAGGCTACTTTTCGCACGCCATCTCATACCGCGAAAATGTAGCCTCTGCTCGCAGGGTAATTGCCCATGGAACCTCATTTCTATATCAATATACCATCGATCAACCTCGTTTGCAAGTCAATATACCATCGATCGAATCAATCGTTTATTGCTCGCATCTTCCAAACTTGGTCAAAGCCAGTTGGTTATGAAGAATAAGCCGGGGGCTTTGAGCCAATCAGAAACCGTGAAATATATTTAATGATTAATGAAAAGAATTATGCAGATCTCAGAGTGTGTTATCCGGTAACACCTTCCTACATCTGCGTCATTCTTCATTTCTTGCTTAGCCTCTTAGCTACTAATTATTTTTCACGTTTTTTCTTAACATAACTTCGAGGGAAGTTACTTGGTGACGTCGTGGCATATGAACTCCTCTAGTTTAAACAATGTTGAAAGCAAAGACAGTCTTTGCACTAAATATTGAAGCTCTCTATTATAAGATCAGTATATTATAAGATTATGGGGCTACTTCATCTAAACTAAGTTTCATGGCCTTGTTTAGAAGGCAGAAGCCAAGTGTCTATGCTTGTCAGAAAGAGATATACTTTTAGTGCTTATTTTAGTTATGAATTTACAACTCTTATGATGCAAGGCAACCCGCCCACCTCAAATATTAAAGCGAATGTCATTTACTATGTTCATGTTGTTTCGTAAAATGTTTCTACTTCGTCAGGAGTGAACCTGTAAGTTCCTGCCAGGAATGTTCGGGCGAAAGTGCTGTGGTAGCTGTACCCGCTCGGTGGACCGTAAGTATGGCCAAGGTCGCTGTAAGTATTGCTGTTGGATCGCGCGTTGTTGTAAATACTAATGTCATATCCGCCTCCGAAAGTTGGCCCCAATAATGAGTGACAACGTATGGACTGCCTGTGAGAACTGTGTTTCCCTGTCTGAGGCAGTTTAAGAGGTGCCCACCCTGCGTAGTTTACCCATGAAAATAAAAAAGCTTTGGGGTCATGATGATAACTACCAGAAGTATCTAGAAAGGAGAGAAAAAGGAAAAAAATAAAGCCATAATTTGCAAAAATATTCAAAGAGAGTTGCTACACATTAACCTTTCTTGCAAAATAAATTGGAGTTACATACATAATTTTTCTGCTTAGCATAGTTAACTGAGGACGTTTTCTAAATAATCTCGCCAATTCTTATTGGTCTTGAAGGAAAAGATGTAACTATGGTAGAGGCAAGATTAAGTCACAGGTAAAAAAATACAAATACAAATTAATCAATAACTATTTATCGGGTTAAAAATCATCAGGCAAAGTGAACCATTTAAAAAATTCAACTAATTAAAGCTAACAACAAGATTCTAACAACAAAAGAAAAAAATGTCCCCGCTTTACATGCATAATTGCCGTGCACCAGACGTGCAAAATGGTTATCGACCCTATTTCAAAAGAGATCACTGCAGCCGTTTTTAAAAGAGGAAAGAGTTCACGCTTGCCACAGTTCAACAGGCAGAAAGACAAATTAATGCAATGATGAATTAAAGTGGC